TCTGAGATTAGGAGTTCGAGACCAGCCTGACCAACATGAAGAAACCTCATCTCTACTAAAAATACAAAATTAGCCAGGCATGGTGGCTCATGCCTGTAATCCCAGCTGCTCGGGAGGCAGAGGCAGGAGAATTGCTTGAACTCGGGAGGCAGAGGTTGCAGTGAGCCGAGATTGCTCCACTGCACTCCAGCCTGGGCAACAAGAGTGAGACTCTATCTCAAAAAAAAAACAAGAAAAAAAGAGTGAAAGAGAGAAAGAGAGTGGAAGTCAGGAAGGATGGAAGGAAGGAAGGAAGGAAAGAAAGAAGGAAGGAAGGAATAAAGCAACACCTATCAATAGATCAAATTTTTATACCCATAAATTCATCCCACGATGAAAATCCTAGCTTCTATTACACGTAATAAACCAGAGTACCTGTGGCACAGAGCTCCAAATTCAATGTTCTGGACTGTTGAAGTTAAAGTTTATCATGGAGCATCCATTTCCCTAGATTGGATCCTAAAACTGGACACCATCTAGATGGGACACAGCAGGGTTTACCCTGGTAGGTGGAGATCAGAACACACAGCCACCCCAAGATCCCACCCACCTCTCAGAGCCTATATGGGGTAAAGTTAAGCTCAAAAGCTTTACAGACAGCCTACCTGGGTTCAAATCCTTGTTCTCCTGTTCACAAAGCAGCCCTGAGTAGATTCCTCATGATATGTCTACCTCAATTCCCTATCTGCAAAGTGGATATAATAATATTTCTTACTTTATAGAATTATTGTGAGAATTAACTGAGATGGTGCATGTTAAGTGCTTACAAGAGTGCCTAGCACTAGTGATCAGTAAAGGTTAGCTAATGTTATTATGAACAAGGAAGGTACCCTAGCCGCTGTCTTGCCTGTCTCTTAAGAGACAAATCAATTCTCTCAGAGGCTTGAAGGCTTGCGTGCCTTGGGTCAGTACCCATTCATCCCCCAGCCTTCCCTTTTCACTCAAATACTCAAGTCAGTCATTGGTTTCCCTAGTGCGTCAGTGGACATGTAGAAGCAGGCTTTTTTAGAGACTGACCATCTCATGTTATCTCTTCACATCTTCCTGCTGTCCACATGTGAGGCCTAGTGTGGCTTCTCTGAAGAACATTGCAGTTGATAGGAAAGGAAATCAGAAGTTTGACAGGCACACAGTTCCACCTCACGTTCTTCTTCTCTCTCCCCTCTAGTCCGGAAACCAGCCCACATCCATAAAACAGCAGCTCCTGCTTCAGAGCCATCCACAACACAATAGAATTCCCAGGCCTGGGAATAAAGACTGTAGTCCCTTCATCCTCTAAAGCTTTCCTGGGCCAACTGCCAAGAGCCACCTTCAACTGGTCTGAGCCAGAGCCAGCAGCTCCAACTGACTCTCCTGGTGGGAGCTGCTTGGAGCTCTCTCTCTCAGGTCACAGCCAGCTGCTGCCCAGATTCTATTCACTCTCACATTTCACACACCAAACCTGGCATAGCTAAGCTGAATCTCATATTTCCTGGTTTCTCCCAGGTACCTGAAGTCAGGGACTCAGCTGTCATTATTTCCATGAAGGAGAGGGTATGAAATGTATTCAGTCAATCATCTGCCATTTATCAAGCACCTACTGTATGCCCCTAGCCTGTGTATGAGAAGTTACAGCCCAGTGTGGATAGCTAATATCAGGGTTGTAAGATCTATGCAAAAGGTAATTGCTGGTGTCTGTTTGAATTTTTGCTCTGTTATTTCAGAGTACCGTAAAACTCCTCTGATCCCTAAGCTTTGCTTCAGAGGCTTAGACATTCATTATCTCCCTGGGTGAGGGTGGAGAAGTGGGGCATGGTCCAGAATCCAGCATAGCGCCTGGCTCAGGAATGTTGGTTGGGTAGAATCAAAGGTAATGTCTTGCTCTCACCAGTTTATTTTATTTGTATTTACTTGTTTGTTTATTTTTTTTTGAGACAGAGTCTCACTCTGTCATCTGGGCTTGAGTGCAGTGGCTTCATCTCGGCTCACTGCAGCCTCTGCCTCCCAGGCTCAAGTGATTCTCATGTCTCAGCCTCCCCAGTAGCTGAGATTACAGGCATGTGTCCCCAACACCTGACCAATTTTGTAATTTTAGTAGAGACAGGGTTTTGCCATGTTGGCCAGGCTGGTCTCAAACTCCTGACCTCAGGTGATTCACCCTCCTTAGCCTCTTTAAGTGCTGGGATTACAGGCTTGAGCCACAGTGCCTGGCTGCTCTCACCAGTTTAGATTAGGTAGCCCAGACCTCATTGATACCAGCTGGGTGTCAGGGGAGGAGGACCTGAGAGGGAGATGTCATGAACTCTGCTCTTAGGAGGTAGACAAGCCAAGAGAGACCCTTATGACAGGTGTGCTCTCAGCTCTAAGCTTGGGTGACAGCCCTGGGGAATAATACAAAAAGTCTTGCTTACCGTATAGTCACTTTTTTTTTTTTTTAAGACAAAGTTTTGCTTTTGTTGCCCAGGCTGGAGTGCAGTGGCGCAATCTTGGCTCACCACAACCTCCGCCTCCCAGGTTCAAACAATTCTCCTGCCTCAGCCTCCCAAGTAGCTGGAATTAAAGGCATGCACAACCATGCCCAGCTATTTTTATTTTTTATTTTTTTGTATTTTTAGTAGAGACAGGATTTCTCCATGTTGGTCAGGCTGGTCTCTAACTCCTGACCTCTTGATCCACCCTCCTCAGCCTCCCAAAGTGCTGGGATTACAGGCATAAGCCACCACACCCAGCCTAGTCACCTAGCTATAAAGTATAGATCAAACTATGAATGTTCTTGCATCCTATCCTGGTAAGTATATATATATATATATACCTTCATAGTGATGAGGCCAGGTTTGGATTTAGAACTCCTTGAAGTCCCAAGCTACAATGTGCCCCAGTCCTGGCCCTCAGCCCATTGTCTGCCTTCTCTTCCCTCTCCCCATCTCGCACTGCAAAGAGCCTCACGTACATGTGTAGACACCCCAGTCTACATATCCAAGCTCTGTCACCCAACTGTCTGACAAACAGCTGTCCTTTGGCCACTATGGGCTGAATGTTTGTTTCCCAAAAATTCCTATAATGAAACTTAATTCCCAATGTGATAGTATAGTTGTCCTTTTGTATCTGTTAGGGATTAGTTTCAGGATGCCTGAGGATACCAAAATCCACAGGTGCTTAAGTCTCTCATATAAAATGGTGTACTCCAGCCTGGGCAACATAGTGGGACAACCATCTCTAAAAATAAAAATAAAAAAATTAGCTAGGTGTGGTGGCACATGCCTGTATTTCCAGCCTTTCGGGAGATTGATGTGGGAGGATCACTTGAGCCAGGGAAATTGAGTGAGCTGTGATCATGGCACTGCACTCCAGCCTGGGCCAACAAGTGAGACTCTGTCTCAAAAACACAAAATAAGGCCAGGTGCGGTCAGGAGTTTGAGACCAGCCTGGACAACATGGTGAAACCCCGTCTCTGCTAAAAATAAAAAAGAAAAAAAAATTAGCTGGGCATGGTGGCAGGTGCCTGTAATCCCAGCTACTCCGGAGGCTGAGGCAGGAGAATCACTTGAACCTGGGAGGCAGAGGTTGCAGTGAGCCAAGACTGCACCACCGCACTCCAACCTGGTGAGAGACTTCGTCTCAAAAAACAAAACAAAACAAAAATAAAAAACAAAACAAAACCCACCAAAAACAGTGTAGTATTTACACATAATCTCCTATGCACATCCTCTTGCATAAATTTATCTCTACATTACTTATATCTAACACAATGTAAATGCTATGTAAATAGTTATACTATATTGCCCTTGTTTGTATTGTTTTTTATTGTTGTATTGGGGGTCGTGTTGTTTTTGTTTTGTTGTTTGTTTGGAGACAATGTTTCACTCTGTTCCCCAGGCTGGAGTGTAGTAGTGTGATCTTGGCTCACTATAACCTCCATCTCCCAGGTTAAAGCAGTTCTTGTGCCTCAGCCTCCCGAATAGCTGGGATTACAGGAATGTACCAACACACCTAGTTAATTTTTGTATTTTTAGTAGAGACAGGGTTTTACCACGTTGCCCAAACTGGTCTCAAATTCCAGAGCTCAGGCAATCTGGCTGCCTTGGCCTCCAAAAGTTCTGGAATTACAGGCATGAGCCACCATGCCCAGCCTGTTGCTATTTTTGAATACTGTGTTTTCCATCTGAGGACGCAGACCCCAGGAATATGGAGGGCCGACTGTATTAAGGTGGGGCCTTTTGGAAGGCGATTAGTTGAGTAGGATTAGTGGGATTAGCTTCCTTATAAAAGAGGCCAAGGGAGCTTGCTTGCCCTTCCACCATGTGAGTTTACAGTGAAAAGACACCTGTCTATGAGGAAGAGGGCTTTCATCAGACATCGACCTTGATCTTGGACTTCCCAGTCTTCAAAACCATGAACAAGAAATTTCTGTTGTAAGTCACTGAATCTAAGGTACTTTGTTGTAGCAACCAGAGCAGACTAAGATAACCACGTCTTAGACCTACAAGTGTGCACACCAACAGCACAACTCTTGGAACCCAGAAAGCAGGGATCCAGGAAGTGGGCTTGGCAGAGAATTCTGGGGTCCTAGGTATAAGAAAGGTGATCTAAAGCCGGGCGTGGTGGCTCATGCCTGTAATCCCAGCACTTTGGGAGGCTGAGGTGGGCGGATCACTTGAGATTAGGAGTTCGGGACCAGCCTGGCCAACATTGTGGTGAAACCCCATCTTAAAAAAAAAGAAAAAGAAAAGAAAGGTGATCTAAAAGGAGAAAGGACACACCCCATTGGTCTGTGGACTGTGTGCCCTGTAGGGAAGGTCATGGTGGCAGGAAGGCTCAAGCAGGGACTTCTGAGGTGGGAATCCAGAGCACTGACCCCTGCTTTCTTGCAATGGGATTTTCCAGGCTGCAAGCTGACAGCAAAGGCTGTCACTTCCCTGGCCTCTGACACTGGTTCCCTTCTATCTCTACCCTGACAAGTGAACAGGAAACAAGTGGACCAGACAAAAGAAAAAATANTCCACACAACTACATCAAGTGCTTCTTTCCCATTCTCCTCTCCCCTTGCCACCCCTCCAGCCCTCAGGAGGCTTTGCCTGTGCTGGGAGCAGTGAGAACCTCAGTGTCAGAGCCTGGTCCATGAGGCAGGAAGGAAATCTGGGCATGGGGAGGGAACTGGATTTCCAAGAACACAAAAACGTCACGGTCTCGCATTCCAAACTCATGTGTTCCTTAGTCCATTTGGCTGAATTCTTTCCCTGGACTTCACCTGGATAAAATGCCATGGTTAGTGCAGGGTCAAAGGCCCCAGCTGATTCACCAGGAAAGTTTTGGTCTTTCTTCCATTTAAAACAAAACAAACAAAACCCCACACAGTTAAACCATTTCTGTCCATTCTCCTCTTTCCATAATAAGGGAGACACTAAGTTCTGGCTTAAGTCCAGAAGATCCTTCCAAAACAAAATGTTTACCAACTCCCTTCAGAACCCGATGCTAACAAAAAAAAATAAAATAAACCCAATTCCTGGGTGAGAGGTTCAGGCCCGAGCTGCCTCCTGGGGAGTCTTACACTGGGGGAGCAAGGGCAGAGGTCATAGGCCAGCAAGCTCTGCTTTGGGTACACATCAGGGAAACCCTGCACTCCCATGCCTGGGGAATTCAGCCGCAAACCTCCCAGCCCTGCTATTGTTCCTCTGAATGACCAACCCATCATTCCTACAGAGGAGAAATGGTTTCATTCTAGCTCAGCCTTGGGAAGACAGATTTAAATGAGGGAGGGGCTGAGAAAGCATGGCCAGCCCTAATTTAGACCAGTGGTTCATGATTGTTTTCCCATCATAACACAGGACAGATGGCGTCCTCCTGCATGTCCACCACCACAGACATACCCTGGATTATGTGCTATTCCCAGGGTACCAGCTGTGACCCATTTGTCGCTCTCAAAAAAGAAAGCATACCTGAATGCAAGCATCTGAGCATGAAAACCTGCATCTCTCTGAGTTTTTTTTTTTTTTTCCCGAAACAGTCTTGCTTTGTCACCCAGGCTGGAGTGCAGTAGTGCAGTCTCAGCTCATTGTAACCTCCACCTCCCAGGTTCAAGCAATTCTTCTGCCTCAACCTCCCAAGTACCTGGGATTACAGGCATGTGCCACCACACCTGGCTAATTTTTGTATTTTTAGTAGAGACAGGATTTCACCATGTTGGTCAGGCTGGTCTTGAACTGACCTCAAATGATCTGCCTGGCTCAGTCTCCCAAAGTGTTGGAATTACAGGCATAAGCCACCGTGCCTGGCCTAATTTTTTGAAGTGTAAGTCACTGAATCCTTTATAAGCTCTGGAACTTAACTATTCTCACTGAAAACTAGTTTACAACACCCCTCCCAAATGACTTTGTTATCTCATTGAGGCAGGTCGATAACCCTGAACTAGAGTGTGGAGCCTCTCTGTTGAGACATGCTCTCCTGGGAAGCTGGGTCAGGCAAGCTGCCCACTTGCTTCCTCACCTCTGCTACAATCTGGCAGGCATGGTTTTTCCAAATGCAGCAGGGCGTGTGTGTGTGTGTGTGTGTGTGTGTGCACGTGCGGGCACCCTCGCGTGTGCTAATTCAACACACTAAGAGTGTGGCCACGTTGGCATTGCAGGGGCTGGGAGGGACCAACAGTAAGTAGGAAAGGAAACAGCACACCAGAGGAAGCTAGGCTAGGAGGTGGCTGAGCACCAGTGACTGACAGAGGTGGTGATGCGCCTCCACCTGTCAGTGGCTTCCTCAGGGTCTATCATGGGGGGGGCAGTGGAAGCAGCTGTTAGAAACCAGCCTCTGTGCTGGGCGTGGTGGCTCACGCCTGTAATCCTAGCACTTTGGGAGGCCGAGGTGGGTGGATCACCTGAGGTCAAGAGTTCAAGAACAGTCTGGCCATCATGGTAAAACCCCATCTTTAAAAAAACCAAAACAAAACAAAACAAAAAACAGCCTCTGTAAGGATAAGAGTACTGAAGAGAGGCGTGGTTGACCCCCATGACATGGGGCCCTTTACAGATGGTCTACAAAGCCAGCCTGTGCTCATCTAAGCAAATCTTAATTCTCTCCTGACTTTCTGGAGTTACATACTGAATTTTAGGGGCTGTCCAGCCACAATGAGGCTGGAAACTCACTTAGCAGCTCGGATAAGAGCCAGCCCCCAAGGTACCACAGCCATCCTGTTTAGAGGCATAACCCAACCTGATCTAGGGGTGTTCTTGGTGTTCAGAGGACACTGAGGGGATTGCTGAGACTTGACATAGACATGGTTTGAGACTTGACAAAATGAGATTTCTCCTCCAGTATCCAAGGCTTAAAGTTACAAAGAAAATTAGAGTCAAGTCAACTTCCACAAGAGACCTTCCTGGACTCCATCATTTATTCAGGGATGCTGTTCTTTCCCCCAGGGCCTTGCTGTCTGGTTTACTGTTTAATTTGCTCCTTTTCAGAAGGCCCCAGCATTGGGTTGGGAATGGGTGTGGGGACAAGAGAAAGTTAGAGAAAGTCAGCATTCCTTTCCTTATTTTTCTCCAGAGTTGCCTGTTTGCTTGGGCAGTGGGATTTTCCAGGCTGCAAGTTTTCTTAACCCAAGATCTTTTTTGTGGGAGGGATGGCCATCAACAGAGATTAGATTAAAATCTGAAAGAATGGCCTTATTTTCTAAATTCCCAACCTGCTGCAGCCCCAGGACAACTCCAGGACAGGTACAGTTCACTGTTGCTTCCTTCCAACATGGATTGCAAAAGAAAACGTTCTGTTTTAGTGCAAATTTCTCTGCAAAGGAACCAGGGAGAGGTGGGAGAGAAGAGCCCATGTTCTGGCCCCAGGGGTTTGGGAACCTTCTGACCTTGAGATCAAGGCAGACCTTGAGTCTGACCTTCTGAGCAGCACATCACACTTTTCTGAATTTTATCTCCTAGGTCCTTTCTGTGGGCCTGCAGGCAAAATGTGTGGGGAAGGGCAGTGTGAGGCTGTGGGTCCACTGGATGAGTTGTCATACCTGCCACACTAACACAGAAGAGCAAAGGAGAAGAGAAGGTAGAAAGAGAACACCATCAAAAGCCGAGCTAATGGCCAGTGGTCCGTAGGAGCTGCTATAGCCCTGCCCCAAAGACAGTGAGTTTCTGGTTCCCCACCAGAATTCACCCTTCAGAAACCATGCTAGCAAAGTGCTTCTCTAAGTGACATCATAAATCCTCTTCTTTGGAGCAACCAGTCCAGAACCTGGAGCTCTTGTGTGGCCCCGTGATGTGGGATACGTGGCCTCTCCATGATGTGAAATACGTGGGAGAGAAGAGGGACATTCACGCACATGCACACAGTGGAGTCTCATGACCTGGGGCGAGCACAGCTGCACGTGGCAAAATGACAGGTGCTGTCATGGCAGTGGCAGCAGCCGGATGCCAAGGAAAACAGACAAAGTGCTAGAACACAGGGCCGGGGGCTGGGCCTAAGGGATCTGAAAGACATTCAGCTTGCTAGTGTTCTTCAGCGTCTGGCGCCGATTGCAGAACCAGACACGCACGACCTCACGGTCATAGTTGAGCTCCTTAGCAATTTCAGTGATCTCCTGGCCTGTGGGCAGCGGGTTCTTCTCAAAATAGGCATTGAGAGCCTCTATGGCCTGGGGAGTGAAGGAGGTGCGGCGTTTGCGTTTCTTAGAGGGCTCGCCTCCTACAAACTCCATCAGGTTCTGCTGGCCTTCCTGGTTCCGCAGTTCCGCTTCATTTAGCCACTTTTCCAGCACTGGCTTCAGCTTCTGGGCACTCTTGGGTGTGATGTCCAGCTTCTCAAACCTGTGGGCAACCCACACCCAGGAAGAGGCAGGCAGTGAGAGCTTCTCGGTCTCTCTGGCACACCCCACACCGAGGTGTAGGCTCCATCCTCCAGGGGCCGCTCCACTTGGGGCTGGTGAGACCATACCCAGTGCTCCCCTTACCACCTCCACCAGGGCCCCTCTAGCTTGGCCAAGCCCGGAAACCTCAGACCCTCTGATGCCCCCAGTCCTAACAGGGAGACCATTCCCATGACCTCAGCTCAGTCAGTAGTACAATAATAATAGTCCAAATGCTTTATGAACAACCATTCTAGAATGTTCACCTAAATGAATGAAGTCCTTTGAAGAGCCGCCTTGGGAGGCCTCCAGTCGCACTCCTATAGCAGCATCACTAACAAGACAGGCCACTCTTTCTGGCTGAGCCTGGATGTGGCAACAGGATTCTCCACAGAATTCTAATGCTCACTCTAGTCTGACCTATGGAGCTGGCAGGCAGATGAAACCTTTTGGCCTCTACCCCTCCTGGTGCCAAAACCAGTTTATAAGTGGCTTACAGAAAACTCAGCTGTGTTATTTTATAGTCAAGCCTTGTAAGAAGGGGGATGGGAGCATGATGAGGTGTGGTGGGTTACAGTTATGGGCCAGGATAGAATTGAAGTTCCCACTTCTGTGACTAATTTTACAGGCTGTACTCCTTTCCTGCTAGAATTCCTCAGTGGATTAGGGTCTTGGGTTCCCAAAAGAAGACCATTTTAATGCCCAGGATTGGAGGATAAACTTCAGAGAGCCTCAGAAGGACAGGGTCAGTCTTTACCCCAGGTGTTCGTATCTACCCTGAAGGCAGTCTTCCTATCTGGAAGAAGACTGGAACAAGGGGTCATATGGAAAAGGGGCAGGTGCCCAGGTTCCCATGAGTGCCCAGTGGCACCAGGCAGCTGAGCAGGTCCTAATCCTGTCTAGGGCCGTCTTACTCACCGGCAGATGGCTGACTGGCTGTAGGCTGGACCTTCCGTTGCAGTCAGAGCCTGACCCACCTGGGTCTGTGTAAGGCCCAGGGAAAGCCGCCGTATCTTAAAGTTCTTAGCAAACTCCCGGATCTCTTCTAAATTGATCCCATCCTCATCCAGACTTGGAGTATGTGGCTCTAGGCCAGAGGGAGGGAGCAGGGATGAGTGTGTAAGATGGAAACCATCCCTGCTTAGCTAGCTCATTGGTCAAGACTGAAGCAGTAGTGAGAGATGAGGACATCTGACAAAAGGCTCATGCACTCTCAAGACCCTTATCACCTTTGTCCCCAAGACAAGCAAGACTTGAAGTAAAGGGGCCTGAACCCACCTCTCCAGGGGTAAGGAGCTATTTTGAAGTTCTTCCAGCTCTAACTGCTGACCCTCCCCCATTCTCCCTAGGCCTGGCCTCAAACACACCTGTTGGTCACCCACATTCCTCAAATACTGGGTGAGAGACCGCAGTAGAGACAGCCCACAGCTCAGCCTCTCCAAGAAGCAGCCATCCAGCTAAAAAGCCTCCACGGTCATTGTGCTCAAACTCCACCTCAATAGGACTGGAAATAAAAAAGCCAGTCCCTGCCAGGCATGGTGGCTCATGCCTGTAATCCCAGCACTTTGGGAGGCTGAGGCAGGTGGATCACCTATGTCAGGAGTTAGAGACCAGCTTGGCCAATGTGGTGAAACCCTATCTCTACTAAAAACACAAAAAATTAGCTGAGTGTGATGGTGGGTGCCTGTAATCCCAGCTACTCGGGAGGCTGA